GCTGGTGGCATCGGCTTCATTCACCCCGTTCCGGTCCTGTTCCGTGTTTGCCTTATGCTGTTGAAGCGAGCGGAGGTAAAACGGGCCGTCCTCCGGCAGCTGCGCACTCCCCCTTGTGCTGGGCAGCGTCGCACCGAGAGGCTGACACCCCTGCCTGGGACCAGGGAGAGCACGGGTTTGGTTCCCTCCTGTGCCACAGGCTCGTGATTGGAAGCCCGAGCCACGCTCCTGCCACAGCTAATGGTTACTTGATTTGGGTCTAAACTCTGTTGACACTGTTAAATCAAAAATAGAATAAGGTCTTTTAAGCATCAAGATAGAAGAACTCAAGTTAACCTGAGTGAGCGTGTCTTGAGTCGCTTGCTCATAATCGCTTATACATGCTTTAATTGATTAAATCACAAATCTGACCTTGTTGCTGTGTACTTAAAAACAAATAAACATAAAAGTTTGTGCTTACGTTGAGTTGTTGATATCATGTCATGAAAATACCAGTAAATTCAGACTCTGCTTGGTGCTTCAGAGGCATCTGAACTATTTTGATGGTGTCCTTATGTGTTCTGAGACAGAGCAGAAAAGCCAATTACTGAAATTAATCATTGTCTTCTCTTGTGGTGCTCTCAAAATGAGTGACAGATGCTGCATTAAGCATATTGGATTCAAGCGAAACATGCTCGTGTACCCAGTATATTTCACAGGAGACTTAATCATTGCTGACAGATGGCTCTTGTTGAAGAATGGCTTCTTGTAGTTTCAGTTGTTGCAAAAGACAAAAAAGGCTGAATTCAAGAAGTCATAGTAACGAGAGACAACTCCATCCTGAAATTTATTATGTGAAGATGATAAATGAAGAAGGCGTTATTATTACAGAGAGGCTATTACATTAATGGGAGTTGTGCTCAATGCTGTGGAGATCATGTACTGGCTCCCAGCTGATGCTTTAACATGAAGTAACCAGGTAATATCCTGAAGAGCCGGGAAACCCCATAAAAGCATTCAGTATAGTGTTTTGATTTGTTGGGGACATCTAGCAGGATACGGAAGCCAGGTCGTGCGTGACCCTCAGGGGAGGCCCCTGCAGGAACTAGAAAGCTCAGATGGTTTGGGAGGTTTTTTTTGTCAGCCTGTGAAGTGGAAACCTAAAAGCAGAGAGACTGATGGTCAAGGAGAAAGAATGTGATGCAAATGTTAAGCTTGTATTGGACAGTTCCGTGGAGTTAGAAACTTCCTGAAGTAAAAGGACCCTGAGCCTTGTAATGATGAGCCTCTGGATGAGAAGTGTCTCATCTAGGGAGTTAGCTTAGAGCTGGAATTGACTTTTTTTACCACCAAGCTATTGTTTATGTGGTGTTGGCACTTGGTATCCCCACAGGGTCTTCATGATGGTTTAAAAAAAAAAAGACTAATGGATTGGTTATAGCAGAGTTCAAATTGACACATGATGTTTTGTTAAGGTGTACAGGGGTGGGAAGAAGTATGCCAGTAGTTGGATCTAAAACTGCATTTATGCCACTGTATTCACAACAGATAACCAGAAATCTGCATTTTAACCTGCTCAAGCTTTTGGAGAGATTACTCTTGGTAGAATATTATTTTTTAATGTTTTGCGGAAGATTTGTTAAGGACAACGAGGCTTTTAAGTAGATAGATGAATGGCTCAAACATTGCCATTGTGCAAACCTGTCGGTGTATCTGCTGGCTTAAATAAGGTATTTAGAAACCATCCCAATGACCTGTTAATATTTAGAAGAGGAAGTCCTCCTGTGGATCTGGGGAAATACTCTTTCCTGGAGTGATATATTTGAACCTTTGCCATGTTGAACATGAGCGTGGTGATAGCCTTACAGTTACTGTACTTCTTCTTTTATTAAAATTGTGCCTGTCTGGCAAGTCAGACATTAAAAGTAAGAAATCCTGGCACCATAGTCCTAAATAATACAAATTGCTAAGAACATTTGGGCAGTTGGAGCAGCAAGAGTGTTTCACTTAGATTTGTCCGAGGGACGAGAAGCAAAGCTCAACCTCAGCTGTTGGGCAGCCAGCGCTGCAGGGTGCAACTCCTTCGGCTTGCTTCTGGAAAAAGTAGCATACAGCTGAAAATGGCCGTTCTGTACTTTGCATTTATTAATAATTTCCTATCGACTGAGCTGTTAGGCCTGTAGTAATCTTCACATGACACATCACCTTCTCTTTGGAGGCTTGCGCTGCGGTGTTGCGGAATACACAAGCTGACCTTCTCCAGTCATGCCATCCTCGCTGGCGCCTGGTCGTTAATACGGGGCCCACGTGCTCTCTTGTTAAAAAGTGCTCTAGCTTCTCTTGTCCTTTTGCTGCTGTCTTCTCCTCTGCCCTTGCAATGTATGAGCACTGGCGACATACCGCAGTGCAGCGCTGCGGTAGCTCTTGCCGAATCCTTCGTATCCACCGTGCATCTGGATAACTGCGCTTCGGGCCACCTATTCCCGTGGCGTGTCGCCAAGTGCATCTGGTTAGGCTTGTCAAGGATACTCATGCCAAGCAGCGAGGAATTTGGGATAATGAATCCCGTCTGCGTAACACCAGATGCAGTATGTGGCCTTTATTGCAAATTTATTCTGTTTTCATTTGCTTAACCTTTATGTTGCCATTTCTGCTCATGCCAAAAACCACAGTCTCGGAGCACGGGAGAACTCAGAGTTCAGTCGCTTGGAAACTGCCACTCAAATGAACTGTGATACAGTAAGCATGTCGGGAAAGAGAAGTGAAGCACTTGGATAATCACTGTCTGCTGGGAATGTCAGGTCTTCAGATGGCTGAATCATGAAATGCCAGAGAATAGCCGCAGCCATGTGATATTAGTTACTTTGTTGGCACTTGGCCAAGCAATCTGCTCAAACTCGCTACCCAAAAAGCCCCCTAAGAAACTGTGTGTACTGTGACCGATGTTGATTTCTAATACTTAGTTTCTTTCATCCCCTCATCAGCTTTTGTCTGCATTTTTAAAATGAGTTCGTCTTGCTGAAGAAATGGCTTGCTCCTCAGTTAGGAATCGGCTAGAGGTGCCAAGCGGGAGGAATAAGGTTGCAGGAAACTGGCTAAGTGGGTTGTAATGGGACTCTGTGGGGAACGGTTTTGCTATACTATTTGGTGTTACCTCTCATAAGGGTTGTGCTTTATTCTGATCTTAAATTTAGCTCTTGGACCAAGCCATGGCTACAGAATAGATTGGCGGGAAGAAGTGTTTTGCACAGACTTTAGCAACACTTCAAATTTTGGGGAATGTCCAAACATGAGGAAAAACATAGGCTGTTCTTTTGCAAGTTAGTTCAGGTACTCTTTACCTAGTATGGGATGATGTCTATGCAATTTTGACAAGGTTTTTGAACTGATTCATTGTTTCTAGGCATATTCTTGGCTACTTAGTTTCAAGAGCTTAAAAGAGATTGGAAATGAAAAGGGGTTTGAGATTTCCCTGGTTCCTGCCAGTATAGAGCTGCGTAATCAGGAGGAGGAGGAGGAGGGGGAGTGCCTCCAGGGGAGATGCCGTCTATGATCAGTTCTGGACACTTGCCATTCCAGAGCAGTCTAGAAGCCTGAGCCATAGTTGCAAGCGGAAATCCTTGCTGCTTTAGCAGCCAAGATGCATTTTAAAGCCCGTGCAGCATCTTTCCCCCCCCACTAATTAGGACTGTGGTTTAGGGAAGCTTCCTCCCACTTAAGTGAATGTGCTTTATTCTGTGTTGAATGCAGCTGAACTGAAACTTGTGTAAAGAATCAGAACATGCAGCTACTTGAATAAAGGTCATTAATTTCACATATTAGTGAGAATGTTTAATAAATGGAGATTACTTGTTTCTTTCTGACCCTAAACCTTTCTTTACTGCGCAAATCAGCAGAGGCTTATTCTAACTACACCAACTTGTCTGTTTTTTCATGACTTACACATTGACTCACATACAGCAAAACTATGCTTTGGATCCAGGGGAGGGGGAAGGAATGTACGTCTTGTGTAGCTCATGAAGGCAGACACTAATGTCATGTAAAGTGATGAAAGGGAAATGAAAGCTATGCTTTCCTGCAACTTTATCATGACCATCTGGACTGGGTTTGAAAACAACTTTTAAAAAGTCTTGCAACTGATTTATAATTGATTGCTCTGTTGAATACAATTTAAGTCCTCTTTCTTTCTCCTTTTGTCAGAAAAATGAGTGGTGGATTGGCACCAAGCAAAAGCACGGTGTATGTGTCCAATTTACCCTTTGCTTTGACAAACAACGATCTATACAGGGTAAGTTTTTAAGAGCTGCATTGTGCAGATTAAACTTGTTGACAACAATTTTGAGTGTAAATACAATACTGATAGCATACTCTTAGAAAAGTTTGTCTTGATATATTTAAGACTAATGAAATGCAATTGTCACTGTTAAATCTTTTTTATTTTGTTTTATATTTCAGATATTTTCAAAGTATGGCAAAGTTGTCAAGTAAGTGACCTCATATGGCCTGCTATTTTTGTAGCTTTAATTTAAATATTTCATGTCTTTGCTTCACTTGGAAGTCTTGTGCTTCTTATAATTTAAGTATGAATGTGGAACTGTGCTGAAGTCCTGTTCATTTTTAATAAAGTATAAATTTCATTAACAACTGGAAGTTCTTGCAGTTGTATGCATAAAGTAAGAGTATTTGTGTTGGGGAGTGGTTTTGCTAGCCACCTCTTAAAAGTGAGTAGAATGTTGTTCTATACCAAGAGTCTTTTCTCTGAAATAAGTGAAACAATATTGTTCTAGTAAGTGTTGTTCCACTTACCCCAAAAACCACCTGGGATGCAAGTGGATCAGTGTAAATGTGGGAGCTTCTACTTATTTGAACTAGATGTCACGATTCCCACAAACAGGTCCCACAATTGCACTGTATAATTCCTCTATTTATGGTTCTAGAGGGACTTGTTATTGTGACTGCTTAGTATTATATTTAAGATTAGACGTAAGGCTGCATAGTAACAGCCTTTAATATGTGGGGTATTCATGAACAGTACTTGTGAGTACCTGCCTTTATGTTCAAATGATAGGAATAAATGCCACAGTAAGGAAATTACTGTTTTGTTCTGTTTCTTTATTTTTAACTGGTCAGAATAACAAGATTTAAGACTTCACTTTTCAACCCTACACCAGCAAAAATCTACTCTAACTTCTAGTAGCTCCTGTAGTAATCTGTGAGATACAGAGCTAAATTCAAAGTTTTTGAAGTCTCAGGAGTGTGTTTCAGATGACAAATAGCAGGAAAAGCCAAACTCCAACTTTATAAAAACATATTTTTTAAATTGACAGAGAGGAAAGCCCTTATGCAGGGCTCTGGCAGACGTGCAGTGACCAACACAACGGGGCAGCTACAGTCTTTATTTTTTCCAGGGTGGGCCGTATCACCTGTTTTAGTTGGTTGCTGAGCTACCAATTTAGGAAAATCCTGAGCAAAGGTTGTAGTAGTGCTTGCTTTTAATGTCTGTTGAGGGGCTTGTTCTCCATAAATTTGTCACTTCTGACCTCCCTTCTATCATTTGGTAATGTCTGTTTGGGGGCAGGGGTCTCCTACTGTCTTGGCTTTTAACGTTATTCAATAGGAGGAAGAGAATAGTATGAAGTATTGGCTGTATGATGTATTGCTCATTTTAAAGGTGTCATAGCAGCATTCTCTCTTTTTTTTTTCTTTATTGGTAATTTCTAGTGTTTTGTTTGCTTTTTTTGACTGTCAGTCAGTGGTGTTTATGCTGTTTTCAGATGCCTGTGCAGAAGAAATTTTGCACTGCGTCCTGGGTGAAAGTAGCTAATTTAGAACTTGCAACTCTAGCTGCGCAGTTACTCTTTCTGTTTTCCTCCACTTATATATTGACTTGCAAAAAATTCACTTACTGATACCTAATTTTCCCTTACATTTTGTCTAGTTGCTGCCAGAAGTTAACCAAATGCAAAGAGTCACAAAACACCATGTATAAGATACTACCATCTTTTTTTATCTAGCAAAATTTGTTTCCTGTTCACCCCTTTGCAAAAGGTGACCTGACTATAAACAGTGCAGATACTGTGGGATTCTACTGATACTCCCATTTCACTGTGAAACTGAGAGTATCAAGGATCAGTTTTCCTGTTTGTAAGTTGTTATTAATTTCCCAACAAAAATCTTCTCAAATATTAGCTTGATTTCTGTAGAGTCTTTGTTCAGGCACTTTAAAACACTTTGCAGAAAGCTTTGCAACGTCACCTAGGTCAGCTTTCACTTAAGAAGCTTAATTAGACTTTCTTTTTTTGACCTAGCAAAATCATGCTGACTTTTTTTCCATACTGCGTTTCTCACCCCGACATATCCTGACTGTTATGATTTCAGCTCAGTTTGTTCAGTGAGAAATCAGACTTTCTAGGGCTCCGAGAAGCTGCTGATTTTTTTTAAATTTGTCACACTTATTCTTTCTATGTTTGTGTTATTAACTGGTACATTCAATATCCCAATTAGAAGCCTGGAAGTCATATTAGGATTCCATCGGAACTTTTGGAAGGGTAACTTGGCAAAAGAATTAATAGAATTGTTCTAGAATCAGTTTTATTGACACTTCAACTCAATGCATTCAATTGGACACACCCTTGTTCAAGAGGCTTTGGTAGAAAAACTGTTCTAAGCTCTATCTTTCTGTGCATGTATTTTGGGGAAAATTGAGCTTTATTTACTGAGCTTTTATTTCATACACTTTTTACTATGTAGGTCATCTGTTACTTACACAGGTTCTCTGGTAGGTAGCAGGGTTTGTCTGGGGCTTTTTTTGGAAAAAGGTCCTGTTGCTTCTTACAATTTTGGCTTGCCTTATGGCTGAACCTTGTTCTGCCCATGGTGGACACAGGGAGGAGATATTCCCTACTTTTTAACGTGTCCTTTTACTTTTATGTACGTGCGGATTGGCTTCCTGTTTCCCACTGTTTGTTTTTTTTAGGGCTAAAGACAATTGATGTTAAGATTGACAGCACTGAGCTAGTGTGGGTGTCCCCCTCTTCACCTCTTTTCATTCTTTTCCTTTGTCTGTTGTTTTTACTGGGTCTAAATCTTTCTTGAATTTCTCAATGTGCTGCTAGAGGTGTTGTGTTAGACTGAAGATTCAATTTGTATGTCGTGTACAATAACACATGCATCCATGACCTGCTTGGATTCCAGTTGGAGATATTTGTAGAACAATACCATATATACTTATTGTTTCCTATCATGAACATGTTGAGCGGCTAGTCCTACAGAAACATAGAATTCTCAGTTTGGATGCAGTTTGATACACTGTGTTTTTCAGCAATTATGGCAGCTGTCAAGATTACTCCTGAATTTTAATTTCACCTCCAGTTAGGTTCTCTGCAAATCTGAAGAGTATGTTCTTTATTCTTTAAGTCATCCAAAGGAATAAAGAATGATACTGGACCCAGAAAGACCCCACATACTTTTTAAAATCAACTCCACTCTACCTGTAAGCACATGGCCTGGTTAGCTGTTCCTTTGAATTTCTGTTTAATGAGCCTTTCTGTTGTTAAATATACTTTATTTCCTTTTCGCTGTGTAACAAAGCTAAGATCCCACAGAGATCTTTAAGGAAAAAATAACTCTGAAGTAATTTTAGTGTATCAATAATGTGGTTGTATGTTTTCAGAGTTACTATTATGAAAGACAAAGACACCAGGAAGAGCAAAGGAGTTGCCTTTATTTTGTTTTTGGATAAAGAATCTGCACAAAACTGTTCTCGGGCACTTAATAACAAACAGGTAAATTGTGGAACGTTGTTTTGGTAGGAGGGTTGGGTTTACAGCCCCAAAATATTTACCTTTTTTTTCCAATTTGCTGTAGTTGTTTGGAAGAGTAATAAAAGCAAGTATTGCCATTGATAATGGAAGAGCAGCAGAATTCATTCGCAGGCGTAACTACTTTGATAAGTCTAAGTGTTACGAATGTGGGGTGAGTAAAACCAAAAATTAACTACTACATTCCAGTTTTTTTCTTCAGTTAGGCCATTGCTAATCCTGCCCATGCTGTTAAAATAAATTTTTGTGTTGATACTATCAACTTGCATAGCAGTAGTAGCATTTTCAAGAATGATAATACCCATTTTGTCCTTTAATTGGGATTTTGCATGTGGGGAAAAAATATGTGCTTATAACTGCTGCTTAACATGCTTATGAGTAGACGGGTATCAGTATAAAGCTCTATGAGAAGGAAAACCTCCTGATCTTCAAAATACCTGCTTTTGCTATATCTTTGGACATTCATGATGTAGTTGGTGGTAAAATAAATACTAGAAACAACTGCTTTTACACAGAATGAGTGTGTTTTAAATTTTAGGCAATTGCTGGCTTTTCCTTAATATAATAACATAGGAGATTGAGCTTTGGGTAGTATTTAACATCAAATACAAACTTGATTTACATTCATAACACTTTTGAGAGCAAAAATGTTGACTCATTTCTGTTTCTGAAACTGTTGATGCTGAGTTTTACATCTTGTCTTGAGCATAAACTGTGCTGTAGTGTATTCAGCTATTGCAGCAGCCAAAGAAAATCTACTTTGCTCATAGCTTGTTCTCAATTTGCAGTTAAACATGCATATCGCCACTAATCTCTTCGTTTCCATGGCAAGCTTATGGAGAAGAGTTTGTCTTCTGTGTGCTAATTCAGCATTCCATTTATCTTACTAATTGCTTCAATTTTTTTCCCCCATGAAAAAAATTAACTTTCCTCATGATATGTTTCAACATATAGTTTTTTGTAATGGTTTCTGTTAAGCAGTATTTCTTTTTCTCCAAGGAAGCAGGACACTTAAGTTATGCTTGTCCTAAAAATATGCTAGGAGAGCGGGAGCCACCAAAAAAAAAAGAAAAGAAGAAGAGAAAGAAAATGATTGAGCCAGAAGAAATGTATGTATATTTATTTACGTGTTGATACTTCTTTTAGGCAGCTTTTTCATACTGAGAACTTAAAATAAAGATCTATGTGTTTTTTTCTCTCTACACAATGAAGTGAGGAGGAAGAAGAAAGTGAAGAGGAAGGAGAAGACCCTGCTCTAGATAGCCTTAGCCAGGCCATAGCTGTTCAGGTACAAACTTGAAGCGTATTTATTACTTATTATTATTGAAATGCAACTCTACTTCCTTTTTTTAGCTGCTTTTCTAAAGCTCTGAGATAACACCCATCAGTCTCTTACCCTCTGTAGCACTCGGGGCATTTGTGCCTGACAGTAGTTGGTGACTATAGTTGGCTGCTTCATATTGCAGGCATGTTCAATCATCATCTTTTCTTTTTTTTTTTTTTTTTACTGTTTCAATATTGCTATGTTTGTGTATTGCAATTCTTTTTTTCCTTTAAGCTCCTTTGCTGCTTAGTTTCCTGTCATCTCTGCTGTGATGCTCTGTTAGGTTTCTGGTCCACAAATCCCTCTTTACTCTGTAAACTGAGCAGCCAGAAAAATTGTCATGTATATATGACCAGGTACATCCTCTTCCCTCACTCACTAGAATACCCTTGAACAACATCTATTTCTGGAGCGCTTCCTTTGCATAATACAGTCCATTGCGGTCACTAACAGATCTCTTCTCTCAAAACATATTCAATGCATTTTTTGTTACGTATATAGATAGTCTTACAGCTGTATTACTATCTTCTTTAATATTTACAGGCTTTTGCTTCACTGCACAGAGCAAGCCTGACCTGATGTTCAAATTTCATGGCTCCTTAGTCCTCAGCTGGCCCCTGTGTGCCCCTATCCTCCCAAAAAAACCCCTCAGAGTTTCTAAAATAACTTTGCCCTCATTACAGTCATATTCAGGACAAAGCTTTTACAAGATATTGTCAAAAAAAAAGATGCAAATATGCACAATTATCCCACACTCACTCCCTCCAGAGAACTCCACAATTGGTAGTAAAACCTATCAATGTAAACAAGCTAGGAAACCTTCCCATTTCTCTAACCATCCAGATTTTAACTGGGATAGCATGTTTCTCAGTAAAAACAGGAAGCATCTATTTAAACCTGTAGTTAATTAACCTTGACATCCCTGAAGACATTCATTTCCTGAATGAATGACCGCAAAAGACAACAGATAGAAGACTTGTTAGTGGAACAGAGCTAATTCAATAACGTTAGTTTAAAACGCGATGCATTCTTTGCTTCATACCTAAGCTGCTCTACAGTCCTGTAAGTTTTCCAGGTGCAAAGTTCCTCCCTTTGAAAACAGAAGGTATTCCATGTGGCCTGCATTGGTGTTGAAGACTTACTGTCTGCATGCGAGAACTACTTTCAGAAATGTTTTCTAGTGCATTCATCGCAGAGTTTGTATGGAAATTGAGATAAACCCTTTGAATTCTTTATCTTATTAAATAATTCAATGCATGTTAATAACTAGCATTATTATTTGTAATACATCTTAATTTTTCTTAATCCTAGGTAATGCTTTATGTTTTTCATTGTAGCAAGCCAAAATTGAGGAAGAGCAACAAAGGTGGACACAGACTGCAGGGGAATCTTCAATTTCAGATGATTCGAAACGTCCACGGATTAAGAAAAGTGCTTATTTCAGTGACGAGGAAGAACTTAGTGATTGAAATAATAGTTTTCTATGCATATATAATATATATAGTGTACATTTTGTAAAGTGCTACAAAGTTATCAGTAATACAGGTTTGTCTTTGTGTTGAAGACACTTACGGAAAATCATGTGGTAGTTCTACTCTGCCCGTCAAACATTTCTTTGATATCTCTCTCTCTCTCAAAACTTCACCCTTCAATGCAGCTTCTTAAGAAGATGTTTCTACACTTACCTAAAAAAAAGATATCTGGGAGAATGCTTCTTGCAGTTAATATCTAGACCCAAACCCTGGCAGTGAAATCTTTCATAAAAGAATTTTCTAAAATTTTTTTCCTAAGAGGAGTTCCTCTTAGTATCACTGTCAGCACCACTGATGCTTTATGTGTTGGTCTGTTTATTGCCTGTTTGGAAGGAGTGCTTTAGTCGTACTTTAGTAGTATATGACTCTTGCACTAGTTCCTCTGCATAGGGTTGAATTTCAGCCTTAAGCATTGTACTAGTTTTTCAAGTTTTCATGCACTAATATAATAAACTTGTAAGTCACATAAGCTTGGTCTGTGAAATCATTTTAGACTAAACAATACATCTGTCTGTTTTCTGGAAGGATATTAAGATATTAATCTTCTGTCTTATGCACGGTTTTAGTAACTTGCTGTACATTTTTTAGTATTCTATAGCCTATATTCAATATAGGCTTCATAGGAGATGCAAGTTAGAAGTTATGTGGTAATTAGTTCAGTCTTGAAATATTCATACTTAATATATTTTAAGAGTGGTAGTTTTCTTGCTCTTGCATTAAAATTGAGAATGGTCATATGTTTAAAAATGAGAATGTACATATGTTTTAATATGCTCTAATCTGATACTGAAAGTCTTTTTCTGTGATAAAGGCTTATACTGTGCTGTTTGTAACTGCCGTTTGGGTGCCTAAGATGGTAATTATGGTTATGCACAGGATTTTAAAGATACTGGTATCTAATATGGATCACAGTCCTATCTTCTCAGCTGTCTGAACCTGCTGGCAAAAACCAGAGGGCACAGAGTTTCCTGTGTGCTTAAAAATCAGCTTTCATGTATTCTGGAACCGTTGTGGTCTCTAAGCAAAGTGTGTTGGCGCCTATTTAGCACCTAAAGCTGTTCAGATCTTTTAAATAGAGCCCCCATCCTTAAATCTCTGTAGGGTTCTAGTCATGTTCTCCTAAAAATCCTCAGACATGTTAGGAGAACTGTACAAATCCCTGCAGCAGTGATCACTCCCAAAACCACAGACACATGGTCATGGTGGTAACCTTTTTATATTGGCCGCTTTGTGTAGTCAAACTTTTCATTTTTAGGAGGCGCAATATAAAACACATTCATGCTTTCACACTTGGAAGAAGAGACCAGCTGGCCTCTGTTTCTATTTTCAGCTCTTCCTGTTGCTCATCAGGACTTGGTTTTCTTCCAGCTATAGGAAATGTAAATCCAAATATACCATTACATGTTCTTAATTAATGTCAATTTACATTCAGATATATGACTGGGTGCAAAGAAAAGACATGCACGCACCCCACCCCAAGCTAATATAAAGCAGTCGCATTCAGAAGGTCGTTCTGGGGTCTTCTGTTGCTACTTTCACAAGAATTCAGAAACAAGAATAAGGTAATAAAGTGAAAGATATTTCTGTACAAACTACTCAAGTCAGAATAGGGAGAAATATTTGGCTTTATATGTGGGAAGGTCTTGGACTCAGTAATCCAACTGATGTTTTTAAGACTTACTTTGTGACTTTCTGCTGAAAGCACAATATATTCAGGCTAGTTAAATCTGAAGTTTTTCTTTCGGAAAGATCTTGATACTGGATAGCCAAGTGCTAAAGTGCCAGTGAATAAATGCAAATAGCTGTACATTATGTGTGTAGTAATGAAGGGTGAGGAGTTCTAAACTCTGCTAAGGAAGAAAATCTTGCTGCCAGCATCTTCTCTGCAAATGCTAGGTTAGGGCTCAATGGCAGGGAAAAAATAAAAAATTTTTGACAGCAAAACAAACAAAACTATTATGCCACTGCTTAAAATCAGGGTTTGTCATCTTCTCCAGTACCATGTTCAATGCTGTTTTTTAAAAAAAAGTAGAAAACTGAAATGCAATAGAGGACCAGTTTGACATTGTTTATGACTTTGATCTGGGAATGTTTGATGCCTTGTAAGAATTAAGATTTCAATGACGTGATCAGACAGCAAGTTTCAAACTTCTGTTTCATTACAGTGTGTAATGCAATAGTGGAACTCACTGCTATGAGACTTTTCAGGGTCATAGTGTCAAAAGGATTAGACATATGTAGAATGTGATGGTTATTTTAAAATATTAACTTAAATACAGTTTCCACTCAGAAATATCCTAAATTACCGACTACCTTTAGCTGTAAAATATACAGAGAGATGAACAGTCTTGGAATGTTTTATTATACACTTTACTGTTTCGTATTTGCTACTGGTGTCTTGTCAGAAAGAATAAAACCAAAACTGACCTTTGTTCTGACCTAATATAGTACTTTGTCAAGAGTTCCAGTAGCTGAAGCGTGTTGATATATCTTTCTACTCTGCTGCTTCTGCCTCCCTGCTTTCCCCGAAGGATTTGCTTTTGTCAGCATGAAGCAGTAGCTCAGTCCAGACTATTACAGCTGACCTGGTGGTGTTCCTCCATGCTCTTTTGTTCCAAGCATGAAGTCGCTTGAGGCAGGTGACATTGGAAAAGAAACAGATAAAAATGAACCTGCTTCTGTGCAGAGTTGTTGTACTGAATTCCTTACCTTCAATCATCTTCCTTGAACAGTTCTCTTAACTCTGTTTGAACTTCTGTTGATTAGCAGTGCTTACAGTTCCTGGCTTAGAGTCAGGGTAAAGAAGAAAGCACCTAGTGCCTAAAACGGGACCTAGAGGGACTTTGGAGAAGTAGGATTTTTGCACTTTGGTCTCCTGAATCATTTTAAGTTTCTATTCTTCATTAGCAAGACAATGAAGGATCTCTAGCTGAGAAATTCAGAACACTAGCATTAGGCAACTATTAAGTTAGATAGCATGAGTACCTGTTCTGCTTACTTAAATGCAAAATTGTTGTCTGCAGCAACCCCTGATGCAGCTGCTTCGTTCTGGAAAAAGGCCCAAACTTGTCAACTAAGTCTCTTTATGTTGAAAACCGAAGGATTTGCTCCTGTCCGTGCCCGACCTCACCTGCTCCAAGCAGCATGGCTTCAGGCTTCCATCCGAGTCTGGTCAGGTGGGGTGTTAACTGGGCTCCTAATTGACGTCAGGCCAATAGGGTGCAATTAGTTTTCAAAACCTGAGCAGGAGAGCGGTGCTTTTGTCAGAGTTTGGTGTCTTAAAACATCAGCTCAGGAAGCAGAAAACAGCTTTGGTGGCTGCATGGCTCTGGGCCAGACAGATGAGGCTATGTAGCCATGTTTTCAAACGAGAAAATAAAAACCGCCTTGTAGAACACCTTCCTGTTATTGTTAGGAAAAACACAGGGGTTTGTGGGTGGGGTGTTTTGGTTTGGGGTTTTTTTTAGTACTTTGAGGACCTAGCTTAGGCTAGCAAGCTGAATGCTGCTCTGAGAATATGTATAACATGGCTCTGATTACAGAGAAAATGAGATTAGGTGGCAGACAGATTTTTGTTATTTTAAAATAATGTCAAAAACTTGGACCTTTCTGCAAACATCCATCTACTAGATTTTTATCTTTTGTATTTTCAAAACAGCTTGAAAATTGTCAAAATAATGCTTTCTAGGTCATGGGACCTCTTGTCTAATGCAATAGCTAGCCAAGTAGTGTCTCAAAAGCCACTAGAAGATGACTTTTATCTGTCCTTGGGGAAGAAGGGGCTTCAGAAGGGGGGTGAGGATCATTAGCTTAACTGATTATAAGTGGTATTACTCATACTGTGCCTGTGCCGCACTTGTTAAACCATTGCAGCTATGAGGCACTGGAGTAATTTTAGTCCATGTTTAGCAGGCTCCCACTATGTTCTTGGCATATTCAGGTTACTGCTCTCAGCAGAGCAATAGAAGGGGCTGTAAATATAAAGAACTATGCATAGCTAAATAGGTGATGTCTGGAACAAATTGTAAACACTTTATCTTTGGCTTCTGGGTCACCGTGTTCTCTGGGATAGCCCTTTCTTAATCTGCAGAGATGACTTACTGTAGCATGGGAAGGTGAGCTGTGCCTGCTGTTTGGCTGTAGTCTTCTGGGGCACAAACGATCAAACTGCTTAGAAAAGCTAGATGTGAAACATGATATTTAAAAATGGGATTTATGAGGTGCTACTATGAACAGGTAGAGGTAACTAGTACAGAGACCTCTTCGTTTCCACTTATTTCATTTGGCATCTACGGTGTCAGGATGATAATATATGCCATCACAATTGCAACATTGCTCTTCTATAAAAATATTTAAAACAACACTTTTCTAGATGTGTTATCTTAAAATAACTGGTATTGGATAGCTGATTGCTTCTTTTCAGTATAGAATAGAAGACTTTTAGGTGTCTAAAATGTTCCTTCTAAACAGCTTTGTTTGTCTTACGGATCTTACACACAGGGTGAGTTTTTTTTGTAGCTGTTGACGGCAGTATTAAAAATTACGACACTGTTCCTTCTTTAGAGAAGAAGGTGTCAGGTGAAGGGTTTAGTCACTTGCAGCGTAGATGACCTTGTTTCTTGTATATATCCTGGTGTCTGTAAAAAGTATCCTAGACGGGATAAGATGAGGAGCTTCTGTATGTAAAAGAAAGCAATATTTTTGAAGTTTAAGAAGTTTGTGTTTTGAAGTTTAAGAATTGTACAGGTTTGTGAAATATCGTTTTGTCAGTGCTAGGCCAACCCTGACCCTGCCGTGCATTCCGACAGATGAGATGCGTGCTTATACAAGTATTTAAAGGATGGGCTAGGTAATGCAGCACGTAAAAAGTTACAGAAATTGTGGCAGTAAAATGTGATAAAAGCGTGTGTGAAAAATCTAACCAACCCAATGAGGCAATGTAGGTCGCAGTGGCTTGAAGAAATACCACAGTTCTTAACAGAGAACTTTCCTGTCTGATTAATAGGATGCTCCAGAGAATCAAACGCATCTTGGAGATTCTGAGTCTGTCAAAGGCAACAAGCCTA